GCCTGGACACAGATGTAAATGAATCATCACCAGTATTTGTAGAAGTATACAGTGGCTTGTGACTGCACATTACAATAATCTGCACTGGCTCATGTATTGTATGATTCATTTAGGATGTGTGTCCCCCCCTCCCCAAATCTCTCTCTGTCTCTCTGCTACAAAACACCTCCACTGTTGCTATGGGATCAAAAAGATGGGGATGGATACCGCAAGTGATGCTACGATGGTCACTTACATAGGTGGACTGCACTCTCCGCCAGTGTCCCAGCCCACAGCAATACATCAAGACATCCAGTTGGGGGGAGAGGAGGGGACAGGCCGACAGAGCCTCCGGGGTGGGTCGTTTCAGGACAGGCTCACACACAGGATCCTCATGGCACAGGTGATCCACCTGATCTCCAGCTCTTCAGGGGAGTTTGGGGATCCTGTGAAAGAAAAAGAATCCAACCTCCTATGTCCACAGGTTGTCGCAGGGGAGGATCACCTGGGGCTTGGGTGGCTGGTCCCCTCCCCTAAGTTCTGTCCTCCGATGAGTCCAGGTGACCCTGACGCCAAACGTCTCACAGCATCTTCAAAGTCCCGTGCTCTGTGGGGAGTCCAATTCCAGTCTATACTAAATCCAACGACTGTCCCGAGACTCAGCCTGATGTGCCAGGGAGTGTGAGGTTCGGATTTCTTGTCTTAAGGTGCGTGTGTGCTCACCTCATCCCAGAAGGACAGGTGGTTCATCATCATGCCATCATGTGTTTATTTACCCTCCCACTACCACACCTCACCCCTCTCTCTGTCCTGGCTTACCCTGTCGAAAAAAAAAACTCCCTTTCAGCCTTCCCCAGCTTAAGCCCCCCGAATAGTCTTGCTACAAAAACTAAATGTCATTTTCTTCCCTGTGTGTGTCTCTCAGTGCTCTGTAGCCTGTCAGATTTATCCAATCAGAGCTCTCGCATCACTCCACATCCGTCTTGCCTGTATCCCTGTCTGTCCCTCCCTCCAAAGCCCACCCCGGGAGTCCACATTCGGAGATTTTTGGGTTCTCTGTGATTCCTCTTGTCTTCCTTCTCAAAAATCCCAGGCTCTATAGCTCCTCCTCCAAAATCTCTCCCTCTCACTCCACCACGCTGCTTCCCTCTCTCAAGGGTCCTCTCTCATCAGGGGCGTTCCTGCTTACCTGAGTCACTCTTTGTACCTCCTGTTGTCACTGTGCATGCTCGTGTGTATGTGTGTGTGTGTTTGTGTGTGTTTGTGTGTGTGTGTGTGTGTGTGTGTGTATGTGTATGTGTGTGTGTGGAGGCTGCAGCTGAAGCTCACCGCTCTCCCTCTCTCTCTGTTGCCATGCTAGAGCAGGTAACATTCGGCTAGCGCAGGAGACACACAGCCTGAATTCAAATGCGCCTCCAGCCTCTCAGATTTACAAAGCCTCCACCCCTCCTTAACAGCAACCCCTCCTTAACAGCAAAGCCCCCCACCCTCCCACCCCCCTTCATCTCGCTATCTGTCCTCTCTTTTTTTTTCTCATTCTATCTCATTCTCCTCATCTGATCCCACAATGTCTCCTCCCTCTCCCCCCCGCTGTTGCTTCCTTTTGTGTCATTTCTTCTCTCTGCTGTCGCGCTCTCTCGTTTTTCATGTTACCTTGAGAGTGGGCTGAGGCGGCACAGGGGATAAGTCTGCTTTTGTTTAACACTGCAAAAAAAATAAAATAAATCTGCTGCTTTTTAAGCCATTTCTATCTATAATTGAGTCCAAGAACCTCTTGACACAAGTGAAGGAAATCTGCTTGTGCAATATTTCAACCTGTTTCCGAGAGTAACCAACTTGTCTCTAAGAGTTTATCTGGAGAATTACAGAGTTAAAAGAATAAACAGAATTTTCATCTCTTTGTCTTGTGGGTAAAATGGCAATAATCCTGTTGAACGTATCAGGCTAGTATGTTAACATGCTAACATTTGATTAAAAAAACATAAAGTGCAGTTGAAGATGAAGAGAATGCCATTAGTTTCTCAAAAACCAATGTTGCACCAATGGTGCTCAATGAAAAGTTAAATTCAGGCAATCACCTTGGTCAGTATGAGTCATTACCTGGGGACCATGAATGTCAGTACAGCATTTTGTAGCAATCCATCTCAGTCTGGACCGAAGTGGTAGATTGACTGACTGACCAATGTTGCCATCCCTAGCTCAACGCCACTTGCATGGCTAACAACTAAATACACTAAAATAGAAATTACACACCGAAACCAGAACCAGACCAGAAAGAGGAGGGATAGAATTGTAATGTACATACAGCAGTTTTGATTGACATAATACAGATTTTTTTAAGATTAAGATTTTTTCTACTTAATGTGCTGGGGCACATTAATCAAGACAAAATAAATGCAGATTTTCTCACTCGTTTAAAAAAAAGAGCCCTTAAAGACTCAACAATGGACAAAAATGACATGATGAAATTGATATTTTTGCAGTGTAGATGCTGAATATGAAGATAAAACTGGAGGAATTAATGCAAAGCTTCTCTAGGCATGCATGAAAGGTTGATTTGACAATATAAAAAAAAAGAGAAGTAGTGAAAGCCTGTGCCTTAGAGAACTCTTTATAGTTGAACGTTGATCTTACAGAGTCAGATAAAGAGGAATGGATGCAGGCTGTTGCTTCTCCCTTTGATCATTCAGATCATTCACTCGGTATCATGGGAATAAAAAAGTGCTCTGCAGCCTGCCAACATGACATACTGTAAAAATGGCCACAATAACCCAAGCTGCACTAATGCTTCCTTGCAGATTATAGTATGAATCATTAAGGAGGAGGATGATCATGGCTGTGGGGAAATTAAGGAAAGTTAATTTTAGTTCACATACTGGTACATGAAAGCGAGCCAGCTCTGGTCCCTCACTGTGAATTACAGCTGCTTATCTCGTGTCCTGTCACTCACCATGTATATCATTAATAATGCCTTTAACAAATCTTCCCTCTCAGTGCAGTAATGTATTTCAAGCTGATATAAATTTCTGCCTGAGATTCACTAAATTTATCACCAGGGATGTAGCAGGATGTTTGCTGCTATTTCTCTAATTCCTTCATTTTTCCTTTCTTTTTTTGAAGAGACAGGAGTTGCCGGTTTGGCAATTCCTTTAAACAGTTTGTCCCGCAGCCCTGGCTCATCCATCAGACGGACAAAGACCAAGTGCTCCATGGGGTATAATTCTGTCAGACTTGTCCTGGTGGAGGACTGCCGATTACAGTACACACCGGCATCTCTCTGTGGTGTCACTGTGGCATTCTGCATTGATACACTCGCACACACACGCCAAGGTTACAATCCAGTGAGTTATATGGCCGCAAGAACGCATAAACCACCATGGTGCCTGCGCCACAGGCAAAAGACGAGGCTGAGATGCTAATTTGCAACAGCCAAGGACGAGGCAAGGCAAATTAAAAGCTGCAACACATAAAGAAAATCTGCTTATCTGCTGGATCTGTGATAGAGGCAAACATACGCTGAGGAACAGAATGGCGTGACTCTACATGTTGACTCCATTATCACAAAAACATCAGAGGTCTTGTGTAAAATTTCAAGTCTACTGTAACGAATGTGAACGTATGAAAAAAAGGAAAAACCTGCACGAATAGGTGGAGAAATTGCAGATGCATCTATACAAGCAGCATTTTCCTGTTATGGTTTTGGGACCACTTGACCCCTTAGAGGGAAAGGTCACAGAAAAATCAATAAAACATTAGTCTGACTAATCAGCTTTATCCTATGAAGAAATGTTTCTACCCAGAGAGGAAAAAGCTCATCCACAGGGTATGAGGGGTCACTGAATGATTTGAGAAGTATGAGGATGATAATAACCATAACCTGTGGTCTGATACGCTGATACGCTGATACGCTACCAGTTTCAACCCCATCAAACACCTTTGGGAGATTTTGGACTAACATGTTAAACTGAGGGAATATACAGCACAGTGTTTCTGTCCTCCAGTTGATTTCCAGAGAAACTGTTAAAAGTGATCGTGTGCACATCCACCAGACCTCAGCAGGATAGTTGCTGGGTATAGAAAAATCCATGAAATACAAAACAAAGAGTACCCACACATAATTTTATTTTTTTTTTTCGCCTGAGGAAGATCTGTTGGTCGAAACGACGCTAATAAAAAGGGAGCTGTGAATTTAGTGTGCGGGCTCTCTTTGTTTTGTATTACTTGGAGAATCTGTGCCAAAGCACTGAAGCTGCTCTGGAGGTTTGCAGTGTCCCAACACCTCACTAACAAACTCTTTGTTGGTTTTCCTTAGAATTGTGTTATCATTATGAGTCCTGCACACTACGATTGTATAATTATCTGCTCCATGGCATCAATTATGTTATTAATGTTATTAAAATGCTGTTTTGAGTTTCAGTGTATTCAGCATGTCAACTACTTTTGCACATGTGCTAACAGAGAAAGGTATTATTTATATTTTTTTGACCACTTGGGAGCAACAACAAGGTGTAAACACTATACAAGACTCACATATAGTATCACTTTATGAGGTTTAAATAATGAATGTGTTGCCAAACAGCTGCCTATTAACAAATCCAGCAGCCACAGACAAACAAATGTATTTGGAGTTGTGTTTCTGGCCACCTCGTGAATGAGAGTCCAGTATTCATTCTCCTTTGAGCTCTGGTTTCATCTCCACAAACTCCTGAGGGAAATATTTCGTTCTTTAGCTGCTAAATACACGTTCACCAGTAAGTTGCTAACTTTGCTCTGCTATTTGGTGCCGTCAAAGCGTCCTCGCTGAAAGCTGTCTGCTGCTGGAAACAGGTTGATGCAAGAGAACCACAACAGCGAAGTTACAAGTCATAAAACGAAATACAGAAGAGCTGAAAGAGGCTCAAATGCTCTGTACAGCGGAACAGCAGAGTCTCTGCATTCTCACCATGAGTGACCCCCTTCACATTACACATAGACTGTCATATGTGTTGCAGTCATTTGATCCGTGAATTCAAAACCAGTGTTAAAACAAGTTTTATTAAGTTTGTTGGAAATGGTTCAAAATGTTTTGTCTACAACAAATATTTTTTACTCTTTGTAGTATGTTAATAAATGTGGTACAGATAAAAAAAACAAAAAAAAACAATGAAAAATGTAGCAGGAACACCTAAAATTAAAGTATCAATAAATACATTTGGATTCAAATACGACACAGAAATGAGAACAGTTGGCTTATCGTACACTCCAGCCTACACACTTGTTTTGTTTTAAATCCAGAGTCATTTTCACACTTTGATTCGGATAAATGGCCTCTCAATTCATTTGCAGACATTACCATTCCAAACATGCTGCTCCTCGTCATCAGTAGCAGCACCATGTTTCCTTGGTGCTGCTCCTTATACATAAATATGCCGACTGTTCGAGCGTCCACAATCAAAGCAAATGTTTCCTTAACAACAGAATGTGCCACGTCTCCTAAAACATGCTCTGCCTCTTGAATATCCTCAGCTTGGTCAGGAATGTAAAGTAGATAAATGTCAAACTCACCAGCACATTTTTCAGTGGGTATAACAAAGGTGTCACGTAACCAAAGACAACAATCAGAGCCACCCGAATGATAAAGAAAGGAAGCTCCTGCAGAACAAATCCAGCAGAGGACAATAAAGGGTTTTGAGGAGTGATGACCATGCGGAAAGTGGACAGGAAACCAAGAATATAGACAGGGAATACCCAAACTGAGTAGAAGATTGATGGCTCTCCTGCTACTCTCACCAGCTCCACAGTGTCTAACCAGAACATAAAACTATCCACAAACACCTCTGACCTCACATCCCTCCTCCAGAGGAAGCCTAGATGCCCGGGGTGGGACCAAGGGCGTGAGGATGAGGAGTACAGGTAGGCAGTGCTGGTCGCTCGTGAGCTGGGAGTCGAGCGGCTGGGTGAGCCAGCAAAGTCCCGCCATCTGCCTGAGGCGCTGCCATTTCTGGCCTCTGGATGACCTGGGGTCAAACCGTTCTGGCTCTCATCGGGGTGCAGCTGGCCTGATATGGTGGTCACCTGTTCCAGGTGGGTGAGGATGGGGCCCGGCATGTCAAGGTCAGCATCCAGGCTGTCTGCTGCAGATGACGAGAGCACACACAACTCCAGCTGTTATACTACATACTGTCTATGATTATTATTATTATGGTTATTGTTATCCTAAAGTCCAGCCAATGTCAAGATCACTGGACGCCAATACTGACCTTATTAAGTGCACTGGGTGTTTATTTGTCACTGTATTAATACAATTCATTTTTCAGTTGCATTCATTCTTTCATGCTGGTTCACTGCCTGGATACAAATACCCCAGACATAATGAAAGTGAGATCTTTCTTTACAGTGGTGTTAGTGAGTCGCTTCAGGGGTTTTTCGGAGCGGTTACTCTGTAGTGGTGATGGAGGTTAGGACAGCCCTTTCTGCTCCAGGTTTGTTCTATGTCAAGCAGTTTGTAATAGTTTGATTAAATGCTAATTTAAGGATATGCAACATGTAAGCAGTTATTTTTAAAGGTATTAAAACCTGAATCCCTCTGTAAGACTTGGCCTACAAATGCAGGGGCCACCCTCTGACCTGTTTAATTGTGGTGTGTGTTTATGCAAACACATTTGTAATCAAATGGATTGAATTAAATGGTCAGTATCAACTACAGTAGCCAGATAATCATGAGGTGCAACACTGGAGAAAACAACAATGGTCTTTTCTCCATAGCAGATATTTGACATAGTGGCAAAAACAGAGACGTGACAATACCAGGGCCCTGACACTGAAGCAGCTAAATCAAATGTATTATTTACATGTGTGCTTCTCCTTGTGTGTCATGTCAAAATGCCTTCTGTGAAAAAAGGCCTATCTCTACCAGTTCATCGCACGCAACATGAAACCAACTTCAAACCTTACATTGTCCAATGAGACTGCAGGGGCGAATCCTCTCTATAATATCCACACAGATGAGGGAGAACAGCACCAAGGAAACGGGCAACTCGGCGAAATCGTCGAGCCTGTGTCCTCTGTCCACCTGCACCTACAGTATGATGACAACAGTGGAAAAATAAATGTAGAAAGAAACAGTCGAACAGTAGAAGTGATCTGCCACTTAGGAATTATGAGGGAAGAAACAAGAAGAAACAGGAAGAAACGAAACTGAAATTCTTCATTACAACATTTGGCTGGACTGAGAAACAGGAGCTCCTGCATTCCACATTTTATGAACCCATCACATTTTATCACCCCATAATATAGACATTGAGATGCTCCTGAATGCCCTTAACACAAGATTAAGATGTTTGACATCAGATGCTCTTATTCATGTCTTTGCTTGTCAAAGAATAAAATGGTTAAGGACACATTATAAGATATGTGTAAAAATTCCTGTGTTTTTAGGGTGGAGGATGGTATTAAAGTTTGGGTTAATGGCCAACCTGTTATGTTCACCATGGGTTACTGAATAGCCACAGACAGAGTGCAGTCTTGTGACAGGGCACATATTTCCAGTGCCCTTTTCTTTTAATTATGAGATGCCAAAGTCCTCCTCAGTACATGTTGAGATAATCCTTGGATGCACGGTCAATAACTAAATCTCGAAAGACTGAGTGAAACTAGTGACAGGCAATGTTTTCCTTTCTCTGTGGTGCAGCGTGCCATGTCGACCACCACTCAGTGAGTAATTACAGTGCTCTAAACACATTCTCTTACACAAGGGGCTCATAAAACGAGCTTGTGCCACAAATGGACTGTTTACAACAAATATGCCTCTTCAAGGACCCCATCGGAGCATGACAGAACAAAACGTCAACAGGTGCTCCTCGGTGACAAGAAGATCAGTCACGACAACATTACCTTGGAGCTGGCGATTAAAATAGCAAAGCATGGTAATGTACAGAGGATGAGATACGCCAGTGCTGTTGGTCTCCTAAAAACAAAAGAAGTTGTGTTAGTGTACATGTGAATGATGGTCTTTTCAGTATGATTGCTCTTTTTTCAAAGAAATGCTGATCTCATTCTCAATGTATATCCTGTAGTTTATCATGTCATTGTCAGACTTACAATGCTGTTACAGTGGAGGAAAATACAGTTTTGAGATACCTGCGTATTTCCATTTGCTTTTCCTTATGCTTTTTAGTATTTCTAGTTAACTCTACAACATTTATGTTTACTCACTGCCTTCATCTGTTATCTATAGTTACTCTGTAGATTAAAGTGATGTCATTTAACTTTGGTTGAACAAATGCCTCTGTGGCCACCCACTCATTGGGTAAACACTAAAACATAGAATAACGGTAATAAAAGTAGAGAAGAGTCTTTAATGTCAATTATAAAGCTATATCTAGCTAAGCTTGCTAACATGATCTAATGTTAGCCACCATAAGCTACTGGTCACACCAGACCGAGCATGCCTGTAGCAGTAAAACCCCTGAGTGAAGTTGAGCACAGCTGTATTTTATCTTATGATTTGATGTAAACTTTGTTGTTTATTCGTAGTTACATAGTCTCGATGGAAAACTGTGCATACAAAACATCCAATTAGTTTATAAAATATGATGCTTTGTTAAAGGATCATTTTAAATCATGAGTACTTTTACTTATGATAAAATTAAATTTTGCTGATAATAGTTCTGAGTGCAGAATGAATTTTTGCTTGTGTTTCTTCTCATTTTGACTTTGATAACTTGTGTGTGTCCTCACAAATTAGTCATAAGATGCTTTATCTAGCAAATGGCGATACTTAATCATTGTGTAATTGACAAAACCACTTCCCATGTACTCACCACTGTGTGATCTCTGTGATGAACCTCCGCCGCTTCAGGATCAGATATTTGAGAGGAACCCATACCAGCAGGGTCACAGAGGTCACATAGGCAATGGAAGCTGCCACCACGAGCCAGTATGCTGTTAGATCCCGTCCTTTCACGTCACGTATGAGGCTGGCGAACCTCTCCATTATCACAAAGACTGGTACAATAAGAGCCGCAAACTGCAGCACCTCATACAGGACGAACTTGACGGTCTTCCCTGAGGGCATGGTCCCTGAACACCAGTTGCTGGTCTGAACTTGGAGCTAAAGACTGTGACAATCATCTCCCACAGAACGAGTCAGTGGAGCCGTTGGACTCTGCACACTGACATTGCTTACACTGCACTGGAGGCTGTATTCTTTTATTGCTGAGGTAATGAGGTGGTCATGCTCACCTTTTTATGGGCTTACAAAGAAGAGTGTTCCCATCCCATAATTTCAAGGAGAAAATGACATTGAGCCTGCAGCTGAACTATAAAAAAAGGACATGATGACACTGAGACCCTTCACAAGTTTTTGTTCAGATGAGCAAAATCATAATAAAATAAAACCAAAATATACATATACAACTTTGTATTTAGCTGCTGTTAAGATTGCAGCAAAACAAAATTAAAAATGCAATGTGAAATTAAAAAATTCTCAGTAATTCCCTGCTACTTTTAAAATCACATGCTGAGTGGCTGCAAGGTATTCTGTTGTAGGGACACTTCACAAATTTCTTCTATCTGGGCTTGTTAGCTCCCACATACACTGATCTCCATCTAGTGGCGAGGTATAGTTCCTGAAAACATGGTTTTAAACCCAACAGTGTCCCAGTTCCAGATGAAGCACTGATTCTTCTCATTGTTTGGAATATGTAGTGAGTTCACACTGGAAATGGGATAAAATAAAGTAGACAACACACAGACTAAATATGTTCCCTTTTTGTGTGTGCTGTTGATGCAAACTATTCTCCCACAATGCTCAAAGGAAAATAGAGGAGATGCTCACACCTGAAAAAAAATGCTGCAGTATGATCGACATCGCCACACATATTGTAGAATTCCCTGTTAGTATAAAATGTTAAAGTATGTTGATTTTTTGTATACCATCTGCTAAAACAGTATAATATAACACATAGCATACACTGTATAGAATTAGTACTGTACATAGTATGGACAGCTTTAGCATTCCTTGATAACATTCAATATCCATGAATAAAGAAATCCCTAAAGAGAAATAAAAGCAGTAATAAATAAATTAAAATAAATAAGGGCTTTCACATAGTGTCCTGAAAATGCCTCTCATCAGTGAAAATCTTTGTAAAGTTAAACCAAATAAAAACACTTGTTGTATTTCACGCAACTACAAAGACAACAAGGCCATACATATTATTCTGTACATTTGGCCTGGTTTTATTGTGAATATCAATTAATAAGTATGGTTAAAAGAATACATACAAACAGCAGGATACAAGTTTAGACAGAACCTTTACAATAATGTTGGTTTAAAACTTAAAAACAGGCAGCATCTCAATCCTGTACAATAAAGTTACACCGGGGCTGCAGTCCAACACTGTGGTGCAACAAGATGTTACATTTGGATGATGTGTGATGACTAACTGGCTCCTGGTGCCGCGGTCCCAGAATAGCAGCTACTTTGATATTTTCCGCCCTCTTTGATCCAACTGATTAACACTATTTCTCTCTAGCATTTAGTTGAAGGCAGCAAAAAAGTGATTCCTCATCTTTGAATCAACTATATTAATGCTAAAAAAAATTAAGTTCTGGAGAATAAAATGGCCTCTTGCAAAGTCCCAGGTACCAAGGTTAAGTTGGGGGTTGTTTTATATTCTTAAAGGTGGCACAGGGATGACAAGAAGCTGCACATTTGAAAACAGTATCGCAAGAGAAATTAAAATGACACAAATTTGCCCTGCAACCGGAACATGTGGTTAAACATATTTTAAACTGCTTCATAATTCCTTCACTTAGCATCAATCAATATTACACAACAACAGATAAATAACTTTCCTACTTCATCGGCTTTTTGTGATCCAATCAGTTTTTGTAAAAATCAACTCTTTTAACATGTAGAAGCGAAACAAATTAGCTGTATGAAGGTATGAGTAGACTTTGTACAACACTTGATCTTTCCCCTCAGGGTGGCGCTGTGACTGAAAGCTTATGTAGACTTTGGTAAAGAGATGTTTCCAAATCCTGACCATCATAGAAGCCTTATTTCAGTTCTGCTTCAGGTAGAATTTGTTTTAATGTTAGACAGCTGTGAAAGAGGACATGTTTGAAATGCATATGGAGGGGGAGGGGGGGGGGTTCAATCAGTTTTCACATTACCATTTGACCCTACAGTACAATAAGCATGTATCAAACACAGAGAGAAACGTCCATGTTCTCACGTCAGCCATTTAAATATACAACTAAGTTAGGCAGAATATCACATATTCCACTTTCCTGTGAATACATACATCCTGCACTGCTTCTTCATTTAAAATAGCATAACAATAATCAAAACATAAATTAAAATGTACTACAAAAAAAACATTGTATTCATTTTTCCACACTGACTAAAGAGATGCTTCAAAGACACTGGGGCGGTTCAGAGAATTCACCCCATAGTAGCCAAGTCTGTGGTACGAGTCTGTTAGTACAGCTCCTGAATGGAAACAGAGCTGGTCTGACGTCCACCAGCAAGGATGCAGAACTGCTCGTTTTGAAAAGGAAAACTCTGCAGTATGAAGTGAGGAGTCATTGAAAGAATAGAAAATTATCTTGTTTTTCTGGCATGTGGTTTTTTTCCCCCACTTTGTTCTCTTTGGCTTTTACACCTTTTAAATTCACCTGGGGCATCATGACTGCAGAGTTCACCTTTAAGGCTGAACCAAAAACACCTGGAGCTGTGTTAACATTCATCCCACCCATGAGGTCATCATGTGGCTTAACTACTAGTTCAGTACAGTATATACAAGAGTCATGTGCATGCTTGAATTCCTCTTGTTTCTTTTCCCTCCAAAAAACAAAGTGGCTTCAGTTTTCAGTACTTCTAAAAGTTGACAACATATACAGAATGTAGTAGCCTAACGTTTTCGGCATCGCTAAACGTCCATTTTCTCTCTCTATATATATATATAAAAAAATGAAAGGTAAATGTAATTCAACGCCGCTTTTTTGTGACGTTTGTGTGTGACTGAAGTTGCTTTAAGTGGGTGAGAAGGCTGTGGCGTGTGGATCTATCTCAATGTTAGTGTGTGAGTGAAGGTAAATTATCACGTACGGCTGAGGATGTCTGAACCAAGTGCAGTAACTGTATTTGTGTGTGCGTCAACTGCTGTACACCTGCCTGTATTGTGTTTGAGAATCATGTGCGAGTAGCTCCAGTGTGCATGTTGGGGGTGGAGTGAATGAATGCCAGTGTGTATTTCCCACTTGATCAAATAGTAATTGAATATGTAATATGTTGCCAGGTTGAAGTGGTTACAGTTACACTTGTTTTCTTAAAGCAATTTGATTATGCTCTACTTAACAAGCCTGTAATTTCTTAATAATTTCCTAGACAGTTTCTGGGAAAGAAAATTACTGATAAAATACTGTAGAAACGGGTGCACCTCAAATTGATTAATTAAAATTAGTTGCTAGTGTAACCTAAAGACTTTTGCATGTTCAGCTGATCCACTGTGTACTCAAAAGTGTGAAATTTGTTGACAAACAATTGTACAATTCAACATACCACATACAGTATGAAGAATGAACATTTTGTTTTATCAAAGTTTAAATAGAGACTTCTTTTTTTTTTTCTTTTTTTTAAACAAATTCCTTTGGAATTAATCAACTGAACTAGAGTTTAACTAAAAGAACTTGCCTAGTTTTCTCTATAATTATTACAAAATTGTGTTTTTCTCTCCTGGAAACTTCTGAGGAAATTATTTACAAAAGTACTCAGCCATAAAATAAATCATTACCGCAATTTCTCAATTGTCCTGTCACTACCAGGAAACAAGAAATGTCAGGTCTTGTAAATAAAAATGGACAATGCATATATTGCTATTAGATCTAGATTTGGAAGTGATCAGACTTGAATGATGACCAAAAATTAAATAAGTGCAACTGCAAATGAAAGTGCAACTGAAAGTTCCTCCATGTCTGCACATGTAAAATCAGATGAACACATGATGGAGAAGAGTGAAAACGCAAGAACACGATTAATCAAATGGAATCCTAAAACAGAGTGTCCATTTTCAGGTCAGTGTGGCTTGGTGTGAGCTCTTCAAATCGTGATCACTTCTAAACCTGGAGGAAGAAGTGCAATTGTATAATTAACTGTATATCTGCCATATAATAATGTAAAGCATGTCAAATGTCAAGGTTAGTCTAATCGCATTTGTATTTTTCCGTCCATCTAGGGTTTCGTAATAAAACAAGACTTAAAATATAATAAAAGAAATGATGTAAGACCACTATTTGATCAGGTCTGGTGCGTGTGTGTGTGTGTGTGTGTGTGTGTGTGTGTGTGTGTGTGTGTGTGTGTGTGTGTGTGTGTGTGTGTGTGTGTGTGCGTTTTGTGCGGGGATAACAGTGAGCTAAGGGGGCCCTATAGCAAGGCTTTCTCTGAGTAGGGGGCCTGTGTGGCATCTGAGGAAGGTGCTATGCTTGGGCCAGAGTGGGTGCTGTAGTTTGGCGTCTGCGTCATGCCTGTGGGAGTCGTGCCTGGGGCGGGGCCAGGGGCGGTGGCTGGGTTCTGGTAGGACTGAATGTCTGCTGGGGCCATGCCGCCTGGAGCTGCAGTGTAGACTGGCGGCTGGCCCATGTACATATGAACGTCACTATGGAAAAGAGTGAAGCAACATGAATTACAACACTACAGCAAGATGGAATCATTAAACTGTAAATGGAAGGTTGAATCATTAATACTGAAAACTCTCAGTATTCAAACAATGTCCAGGCCTCAAAAACCAGCTGAGACCAGCACACACAATTTCAGGCCAGTCGCTAATAAAGGCCAGTAATACTAAGGGGAATTGACCTGTAGTTTAACTTGCATGGTTACTTCAGCCTAATTTAGATTTCTGCTTTTTATGCTTTAGTATACCAGGACACAAAGGCATATGTGGACTCACCTGGGAGCTGGCTGGCCAGGTATGGGGGCTCCAGCTGGAAGCTGCTCCATGGGAACAGTATAACCCTGCACCGCAGTACCACTCATTGCATATGAACCTGATGCAGGCTGGCCAGGGTAGACCTGTGGGTCAAACACATGTGCAAAGCTCACACTGAGTGCTACTGAGGTAATAAGGGCTTTGCTAGATTGACAACAAAACACACTTGAGAAACTCTAAAGTAACATCCTTCTCTAAATATGAAACTGTCAGCTCAGCAGTTCTGAGAGCAAAATTTCAATCTATTCTAGATGATTCAAAGACATTGTTTCTGCATTCTGTGCTGACATAGATGATAGATAGATGGCACTTCAGATACACTGTAAATTGAAGTAATGTTGAGCCTCAAAACTGTTCTGCTCAAAGTATAAGTGTCTGTGTCACATGACGAGTTGACTATACCTGCTGCGCTGCATTGGCAGGCTGCTGCATGTAGTATTGTTGGCTCTGCAGCTTGGCATACATGGCGTACACTGGATCCTCATTCATCAACTTTGCATACAAAGACAGAGCTTCCATCACCTTCACGTTCAGCTCCGACAGCTCTGAGTGCTTCCTGTTGATAGAAACCAACACAAACTGTTAAATTCCTTTAACTACATTTTCCATGAGGGTAAGCTTATGTAGATCTGTTGATATGTTTTATATCTGGTATCTGCATTCTTTTATGCGTGCACATTTTTCAACTGACAATAATTTGTGGTTCTCTTTTGGCAAAACCATGTCATTTCTGCACAATGCACCTGTCAATATCCTCCAGCTTCTGGTCAATGAGAGGTCCCATTTGATTGCAGGCACCTGATAAAAATAAAATAAAAAAATGTTACAGATTTAATCTCTAGTCAACATTAATTCATCAAAAAAAAAAAAAAAAAAAGAGTACCACATTTGTTACAGTAAACCAATTGATTTTTGATTTGATTTTTCCTCTTTCAGTCTTTTACTCTCATTATTTCAGTCTTAAATTCAGTTTACCTTCAAGCTGTAGTAGCTCAACACTGTCTGACTGGTTGTCTGTGGGATCTGCACTCTGAATCATCTGCAGTAGCTGGTCCATTTTGTCCTGAAAAATTAAGTTTCTGTAGTGAGACTCTTTGGGTAGGTGTGATGAGTTAATTTTTCAACACGACTAAATCCAATTTGGAGAAAGAGAAAAAGAAGACATTATCCTGGGGAAATCAGTTCACTAATTAATTTCACTAAAATAGAAAACCTTGTCTCTGTTAGGCTTTTATTCTGACTTTGTTGATGCTCATTTTATGACAGCGTGACTATCTTGAAACAAAACTTGTGGCAAAAGTGCCACATTGAGGGTGAGCAAGCTTAGTAAGTCAACACACAATGCAGGGAACTTACCTCATCTATATAAACAGGCTCTTGTTCAGGCTCTATGGTCTCCACCTGGATGTCCTCACTGAACTGTACTGTCTTCTTCTCTGTCTTCACTGAACATTTCCAAGTAACAGTGAATGCGGCAACAGAAAAACAACGCAACAGTAGCAATCAGAAACACATACGCAAGAAGTCAGGAGGCGCTGATTCGATACTCAATGTTCCGATTCTAACGCAAAACACTAGTCCAGATATCAGATGAAAAAAACCCCAAACATCTGATAAAAGCTAGTGACAAATCTTGAAATGTCAAACCACTCTATAACGAAAACTCAGAAACAGTAGAAACAGCAGTTGCCAGCTGTCATGTTTGCTGAGTGGAGTGATTTTACAACGACAGTGGAACAAAGCAAAATAGCAGAATGCACGCGTGGCAGTTTGAGTGTTTCGAGGGATTAAACATTTGCAGAAGCATCACGCAAAAGAATATGATGAAGCTATAGAAGCTGTAGAAGCAACAAGCGCTAATAACAAAAGTGTGCCCAAGCATCAAACATCTGGATGTAATGAAGAAGCATGACAAACTCCCACCAGACAGGAGAATGTTTAGACGACAGAGGTTCTGCTTTGCAAAGTGATGCCCCAGGCTAAACATTTCTGTGGCTCACACAGTAGAAGCCATTGTGACGGCAATGAAGATAGTAAATGCTTGAATGATAGACCTGAATGGATTTAAAAAAACAGCGTGCATCACTCAATGCCAAGTACTGAGAAAGCTGCATTTGAATAGCTCATTCGGCATTTACAGAAAATAAATAAACAATATTCCATATCAATATGATAGAATCAAATTTGTTGTATAAGAATCAGAAAAGATAAAAGCTGCATAAAGCTCTCTAATAAGAAAAGGATGTGTGTCCAAAAAGCTATCAGAACAATTCTCTTACGGCTTCCCAGAAGTACACACAGTTTTATTGTTTACTTCATGTGATAACCCACATATCTTTTTATGTTTATGACACTAATAACTTGATTGTGTTGTCTTTGTAATCGTGCTGTGTTCTTTGTATTGTTTCACGAGCAGTGTGTAAGTGATATTGTGTGTAAGTCTTTCCCTCTCTGGGATCAATAAAACAATACTGCTAATGGACTAAATGGGATATCAAAGAACTAGCAATGACATAAATGGATAAAGGATGTGTTTCTGTGTGTGTGTCTATGTGTACACTCACTCATCTCAGGCTCTGCCGTGAGGTCAGCAGTGACAAAGTTAGAGGGGAACAGCCCCACTCCCTGGTATGTTTCCCCTTTCCACCAGTTGGGATCACTGAAAAAAAGAAAAAATCCTCACGTATGACTATCTGTTGTGTTTTCAGTTTTGCAGAGCTCATATAAAGATTTAACAGATTAGTTGAGCAGATTATTTTACTACTTATTTTCAAGCTTCTTTGAAACGTTAGGATATTTTTTTGAATTCTTGACGAGTCATTTTGTCAGGTGAATACCTTATCATCAAATTGTAACACAATCAAAAACCAGTTGTGATACTACAGGGGTATTTTCTTTTTAACAACTCAGAACACCACCTAACTGCCCTAAATCCTCTCAGTTATTTGCTAAATCCTTGTTTGCTGTGCTCATTTTTTGTATGCGTGTAAAAGTTCACCTATCGTCCAGGATAGTGATGATTTCTCCTGACTTGAAGGTGAGCTCATTGTCCTCAGCAGCCTCGAAGTCGTAGATGGCACGGACTTTTCTGCCATCCGACTTGTGTGAGGAGAGCAGGTTAGAGGTGCTCGGGTACAGGCTCGACAGGGAGGTCTGTGGCTGCTGACGTTGCTCCTTCAGCGACAACTCAATAGCTGCAAACAAAAAAGCCCAGAAAGATGTGATTGTGTTTTTGCCCTCAAAAGTCCTTAACCCTTGCCACACATCTGCAGTTCATCAATCCAGTGTGAACTGTGATGCAATGCCAGTAAAGACACAAAAGGTGTCAGTGTGCATATTTTAGACGATAATGTCCTTTTACATACATTTCTCCATTGATGCCTGAGGATTGAAAATCAGAGTAACTGTCATGATAATGAGCTAAAAGTTCCTTACCTTTGGCCAAGTCTTCCTCCTCTTTTTTGTTTGTTGAGGTGGACGGATCCTTTGCCACTAAAGCAGGGCTTGCTTTTGCTTGCTCTGCAGCCTGTGAAAAATTGATAATCATATACTTATGTAAATGGACTGCACTTATATAGCACTTTTCTAATTTTATCGACCACTCAAAGCGCTTTACACTGCAAGCCACAGTTTCCTCCTGAACCACAGCCCACCCCCAACTCATCACTTGAGTCTAAACATTTAAGCAACCATAAAATTAACCATTTACTTTTTCTTTAAACATTTTTGTTTTATTAGATATCATTTGTATTGTATGCATCTTCATTACTAGTCCACTAGGATGCCACAAACATAGAAATCTAAAAATTTACAAATAACTTTCTATTCCACCCTACGGGCCTACCTGGGACCCCACTGCAGGGAAAGTGACACCTTGCTCACGCAGATTTTTGATCATCGCCGAGATCAGACTGAGTTGTGGATCATTGCGGAAGTCCTCGGCCCACTCCACCATAAGGGCCTTCAGCTTCTCACACACTTTGGGGTGGCCCTGGAGACATGACAAAGCATTTTATGAGAATAAGCATGGCGCATGGCCTAATTTCAAGTAATCACAAATACTTAATGGAGGTTATCTGGACACACAGAAAATGAAAATGACCACATACCTTGTTTAAGACATTACTGACTTCACTGGCAAACTCTCTGGAGCACACCTCCAAGTGGAATATCTTCCCACAGTTTGAGACACAAGCACCAAGAAGCTGCAAGGACAAAGGGAAGGGTACAAGATATATCCATAACAGCAGGCGACAAATGTGTAGCACCTATTAAGATATAACTTATCATAGCATAGATTTGGTTACTCCATTAGCTCCCATCTTAGTGAGGGGTTAATTAAGTTAGATGACAGGAAGACAACATGACGCCTCCATTAACTGAACGATCACATTTATACCAAACATGGCTGTTTGTTTCCAGTCTGCTTACAGTCAGTGCCTGCATGGCCACATGAGGATCCTTGTGGTTCACTCTTCTCATTATAGAGCGGAGACATTCTTTAGGCCTGCAACAAAATGGTAGGAATCAAAGGTTTGTAGAAATGAATTGCTTGGCCACAGACCAATGTCACTATAGAAGTTTTAACATTGAGAATCAATATTTATCTTAAGTTTCTCCTTGTGTCCCTGAGCTACGCATTTTAAAAATTGAAAGCCCTAAAGAAAAGCTGATAGAAGTGTTTGTGTGGATTTGTTGTGTGTGGCAGACAGTTAACTAACCCAGTGCGTGACTGTCCTATCTTATCACATATGTCCAGAATGAGGCCCCAGTCCTCAGCTGTGTTCATCTCACTGGTCGCTTTCTCTGCAGGAAAAAGCACAACAACAGCACAAAACTTAAAGATTGCAAAAACACTTTTTCATAACTTATTGTATTTGGAGACAGGGACAAAGAGGAGAGGTAATGATCCTCCGAAGGTCAGAAATAATAAAGCTTCTTGAAACAAAAGTTGTGGTTGCATGCGACATCCTCTGTCAATCGAATTTTGGCATAGACAAATTTTGTTGCTTCCAAAACATCTGTTCAAACAACAGCTGCATTATGCACCCTCACAAATGAGCATAAACGCTAGAGAAATACAGAGGGCGGACAAAATAACAGTGTCCTCTATAACAACAGTCCTGCAGTAAATACCAGTCTGATGAAGCCCATAATGTTTGGTTTACTGTCTCAAGTAATTTAATTTTATTCAAGTTTATTTGAGACTAGCTTGTGCTATTGTGAGAATATACCTATTCAGCAGTGGTGAGAGTTCCTCTTTGTTAATGCATTTGCTCTATCATCAGTAAAGGAAGAGGTGCTCAGATCCTTTTCTTAAGTAAAAGTACCAATTCAACAGTCTGAAAATACTCAATTGCAAGTAAAAGTCCTGCATTCAAAATTCTACTTACACAAAAGTTCAAAAATATTATTATGACCAAAATGTACTTCAAGCATCAAAAGTAAAAGTGCTTGTTCTGCAAAAAAGTGCTTTGCATATATGGTCATGAGATAAATCTCCACAAATCTGTTTTCAGCTATTGGTCTTTTCTCTAAACTTTTATTTTTTTGTGAAACATTGGACAATGTTTGACTCAAATAGTAATTTTAATTAACCCATCTCAGAGGTTGGTCTCTTTTTGGTGATAGAAAACATCATAGACCATCATAGAATTGAAGTACGTAACAAGGGGTCCCAAACTGGACATGTCTAAGTCACCACAAGACAAAAACCACTGGTGATCTTTAAGAAACGTGTAGTATTTGACCAGCTTTTTATATTTCTAATGTAAAAACTTAATCTGAATACTAAGCTGTAACCTGTTCAGTAAAAAGTACAATATTTTCCTCTGAGATGTAGCTAGTGGAGTAAAAAGTGTAAAGTAGTAAAAAAGGGAAATACTCAAACTAAGTACAAGTACTTCAAAACTGTACTTAAATTGTAGTATTGTAGTAATTCAAGAGTACAGTGCTTCAGTAAATGTCCTGAGTTACTTTCCACCGCTGCATTTGCCATATGTCTCCATGATTTATTCCAAAATATGTCATTTTACAGTGTTTGATGGACCAGCAGTTCATACATTAAGTACAGTATTTCACCTCTCTACTTGACTTGTGTTTACACGTCTTGCCTTGTACATTACCCCAAATATGGACAAATATATTGCTGTACAGACATGATTTAAAGTTGTAGCTATTCATTCAAGATCACTAGGTGCATCAGACCATTTTGAACAATCCTGCAAATCAATAAGCAAGACTTTGTGATGAAGTAAATTGATTTTGTTTTACAGAATATTTACTTTATTAAGATTCATGTGGATATTGCAATGTCAGATTACCAATACCAAAATAGAGGAGAGGCACCTAACAGCATATTTACTCAAAAACAGAACTGAACACTGTCAAAATGACCATTCATGGTGAAATAACACCCGACAGCCCAAACATACCCATTACAAGCCTCACCAAATTAGCATTTACTGCTGGCTTTCAGGGCTGTAGCTTGTATGGTAATGTGCAGTGTGGTGTTTGTGTACTTTGCCCACCCCTTTCCACTGGACATGCTAATGAAGTGGTTAACCACTCGACCCAGAACAAAGAGAGAAAAGGAAACACATCGTAGCTGTACAGTTTCACACACCACACCGCATCCTCTTTCACTTCCAGTCACTGTGAGATGTCAGGCTCATCATATTGGTTAGCCAACATACAATGGGATACAGTAAGGTACTGATGAGGCAGATGACTAGCTAGCTAGCTTCAATTAGCTGATGACAACATCTCTATCACACGTCAATTAACAGTTAGCCTGAAGATAAACTTTACTTATAATATAGCTTGCAAAGCAACTGAAAAATACAAATAGCGTAAAGGCTTGTCTTTTCAAATGTCGCACTTTGTGAACGTTTTCAAGGATTCTGGATGCTAGCTGCTGCTAGCTAAATCTCCACATTAGATAAGGCAAGCTAGTTAGCCCACTGAGCTTTCTAGCTAACTGAATCACAACAAACATCGGGAAAACACACAGTACCAGTATCAGTTTATATATCCTGCAAAATACACTGCAAGACAGCCATTTAACATCAACAGTGTAAGTCCTGAGGCTAACTGTGAGGTTGAACACAGCTGGAGAACACAAACAAAGCTGTCTGACCACAGCTACTTCAGCTAGCCTGCTAGAAATAGCCCCTAGTTCTTGATTACTCACCAACATCTTGGTCAAATGGGTTCGTCGCGAAGAGAGGCATTGCTGGTGTATTGACAACAACAGATTTCGCCTTCCCCTGTTATTTTCTTTCCCTCTGGTTTATTTCATACAATAAAAACGCATAGTAACAACAGCTTCATGAATGTCAAGCGGAGCTAAGCTGACTCTACTCTACACAGTCACTCCTTCACCAGACGGCAACAAGATGAGTATTCCGGGTAGCTGTCCCGTGTTAAGCAGACCGCTGTCATCGACTATTATTCAGCGCTCACACCTGTTAATTAACTGTACAGCTGTGATCAACTGGACCATGAGCTACAAATTGCCCTTGCCGTAAAAAAAATAACATGTCATCGTCAGGTGATGGTGATCATGTGACGTTATCTCATTGCTTTACCACAAAACATTTGCTTTTTCCCCATCTGGACCAGGTCCGGATCAAAAACCACAATGCGCACACTGGTCAAATCTGGACTAGATTATCACAGAGAGGCTGAAGACTCTTTAAAACACATTTTCTGATTTGTGAAACCTTTATTCTGTTTATGAAAACTGCAATGAGGGAGATTTCACTGTGTTTGTCACATCTAGACCATATCAGACCAGGTCTACCTTTACAGAAATGTAATACATAACATATATGTCCCTATATCAAGAGTGTTGTTGCTATATATGTCACATATATACATCCTCAGGATATATGAAGATATAAGTTTGTAACATGTATTAAATACCCATAGTACATATAGTAAAATCTATATTTAATGTATGCAAGCCTATGCAAGTTTATTAAAACAATATACATATAAAAATCCATATGTTTATGTATGTTTTTCTTATCAATTTCTCATTCATTTTGAACATATGTGTCTTCTCATTCTGGTAAGGTTGTCTCAGACTATTTACATAATGTTTCTACAGTATAAGCATATATACATCAACAGTTTCCAGTAACTGAACATTATAACCTTCATGAAGGCGGGGTTTAATGCAGGACCATTGAGTTAGACTGTATTAGTTATAGCTGGTGTACTTAATAGGCTGCCAACTGAGCACATCAGATATTGCAGTGCAACCAATTTAATCAGCTACTTGCACATTCAGTGCTTAGACTAAATAGCTGCTCAGAGGCGAACTGAGAACAGTTTGACAGACTGAAGAACAAAAGAGTTCTTTAATCAGCTCAGTCCAGCCTGTGGGACTTCCGGTGGGATTAGGGGTCGGGCCCTTCCAAAGGGTTACAAGATGAATTTTAGGGGTCATGATGGTTAATAGTTGAGGAAAGATGAAAAAACAAAGTGACACAAATTTGAGTTTATTTTACTTTTCTTTAATCTTTTCTTTTCTTTTTTTCTTTTCTTTTTTTTTTAGTTTTCTCAAATGGCTGTTTAAATGAAACCATGTGAGAAGTTAACAGTGGGAATGTCTCTTTGGTGAAACGGCTAACAACTCATAGATGTGAAACATGACAAGAGGCCTCGAAACTGCTTTTCTGTAAGAGGTCAAAAGCCAAAAAGATTGGGAACCACTGGTTTTATCTTTAACAAAAGCATTGTATTCTAGAAAATTATGATATGTTTTTTTAAAATGTTAAACTTAAATCTGAAAAGTAACTTGACTAAAGTTATCAAATAAATGTGATGGAGTTACAACTTTTCCCTCTGAAATCTAATGGTTTTTAACCATAAAATAGCATGAAATGAAAATACTGAAATAATTCCCTTTCAATTGTCCTTAACTACACTACTTACCTTAAGTAAATGTACTTTGTTACTTTCCACCACCATATTCAACCAAATTCAAGTTCATTTTTTTCCCCAGTAATTAAAAGGAATTTCTGTCTGTGAATAGAACCATATATGATGTAGATAAACCAATATCAAATAAAAAAAACCCAAAACATAACATAATTGTTATCAAATAATGTAATCAATCAGCAATGGTAGAAAGTAACTATGTTCATTCAAGTACTGTACCTGAGTACAATAAGGTACTGAATCAAAAATCAGACATCAATAATTATTCACAAAATGTATCTACTATAACAATTGATTTTTTGCATATTGTTCTATAAGAAGTGTCCTTTCTTCTTTAGTTTTTATGGATAAATGAATAGCTTTTAATGCCACATCATTTTAGTGTATTTGTTACAATATTTAATAAGACAAAAAGCACTGACTCCACACACAATTTCTTTCCCATTTTATTGTGATAAGTGTCCTGGCCTGATCCACAGGAATTTAATTAAGGCCTGATAAGCCTTGAGCCAGATTACAAACTGCTACTCAGTCCTTAAACATAATATGAATTTACAAAAGTCAATCCTATAACAATAACAACTGATTATGCAAATAATAAACATGTAATATGTTTCACATATTGTATTTGGCATAATGAATAAATCATCTTATAATGGCTACATTACAAAACATTTACATATTGTTAATGTATGCCTCATAGTGTATAAAACTCATACTGGCAGTCTAAAGTCTAAAAACACTATCCTTCATAAAACAGCAGCGCTGCTCACACTGAACATCTTTTATCACAAAAATGACATTGATATTTCAGTTTGCAGAGAGGTGAAATTTATACTAGCTTTATTTCGATTTATTGTCTGAGTTTGCAGTCGTTTGTTGATGGTGAATGTGCGCTCACCATTTTTCTGGGAGCTTATTTCTGAGCACAGTTCTGAATCTGTGACATATTTGACAGTATAAAAATAATTCTACCATATTAACAACATAATCCTCTGATATAGATTTTTTGTGAGTCTAAAGATTGAGAAGGCAGTTAAGAAAAAAAAATGATATGAAAGTCGATCCCAAACCAACAATTAACCTTTTGCAAAATATTATTTACAGATACACCTGTACAACAGTGGCTGCACCAAACAATGACTCAGTATAGCCTAAACCAATGACTGCATTCTCATCTCATTCCTTCAGTACAAATACTAAACCAATACCATAGTGGGCTGGCTCTGTGCTTGTTCTGTCTTCTGCACCATACTGTGTTGTAAAGTGCCTTCAAGACAAAGATCAGTCCAAGTCTCAGTGTTGCTTAACTGGGTTGGCTTTATCAGAGGCCTCTATTCATCTAGAGTTCCTCCTCATGTCCTTCATTGTCCTCGCATCTTCAACCTCAACTTCAGCCGCTACACCTTTCTCCCAAAGACAGCTCACACTGTCTTAGATGGATGCTATAAAACTGGAACTTTTACTGTGAAGAAAACAACAACAAAAATATATCACTTAATATAGATTTTAACTCATTTATGATGTGCTTACAGGCTGACATATCTACAGTTATAGCAACAGTAATAACACAACTACTGTAAATATGGTAATCTTATCATAATAATGGACAAACAGTTAAAAATGTTGGTTAAGATTGTTTAGTGTTCTGTTGTTTCCATGCAAGTATGAACTGTCAAGCTGAACTTTTCAATATTTTTAACATGGATGACAGATCCTGGAGGTGCCCAGGATCATGGAAACATGTATATCTACATGTCCATGGCAACTGAGGACTGTGTGATACAGCTGAAAACTCCAGAACAAGTACAACTTTAGCTGAGAATTTTTTGTCAATGGACACTGTTGTTTTTTCTGAGCCAATCCCATTTAAACTATACCTTCTTGGTGCCGTAAAAACAAGTACTCACTAGAGCACCAAGCGGTCATTAATCCGCAACAGAAAATAGGCTATAGTCCATGCACTGTTTACTCCTGTTTGAGTAACAAAACTACAATGCTCAAATGTTTTAGGACTAACTCAGGACTAATTACATCAGACTGAGTAGAAAAGTCTGAAATATTGGGAGACTGACTAACACATTGTTCTTTCACACAAATATGAGATTTCAAAATTAAAAAAAAGGTGTGATATATATAGAGGGTACTGACAGTCAGAGGCACATTCACAGATGAAACCGATGCGGTCAGTGCAGTAGAAATCATTCCAGTTGGCATTATGGATAAGACCAGCACAGTCCTCGCCGTCTTCATGACCATGGGTCCAGTTATCAGGCTGGCCAGGCTTCCACTTCCTGATAGTGACAACATGAACAATATGTGTCAGAGTTGAAACATCACAGAAGGTGCTTGTTAGTTACATTCATAGACGCTTGTTGTTTTGAACTGAATACAAAGGGTCAAGTCAAGTCAGAAATCACGACAACACATGGATTCAATTTGCTGTAAAAACCAGTTTGGCTTGTTAACTCACTTGAAAATGGGTATGGTGCCATCCACCCACTTCCAGACATTTTCCTCCTCCCTATCAGTAAGGCCCAGCCAGAAATAACCTTTTCCTGCAATTGCATCTCTCACAAATTGCTACGGACAGAAGAGTAACAGATATTTTACAGGATGATTAGTTCAGAAAAAAAAACAAGTTTGTGTTTTTCTTGAGTTGTTTTAAAGGATTTGTTTCATTTCATCAACGTGAATGATAATATTGAAGACAATGGATAAGTCGGATTTCGTTTACCTGTTCCTCATTGTCATTGATAATGAGCATATGAGATGACATGTTAGTACAAAACAGGTTGGCTTCATCAAAGTTGAGTCTCTGAGAACCAGAGGAGAGGTAATAGCAGCTGTCTCCAAACTTTCTGAACTGAGGTGGGCAACCTGGAACAATTAATGACATTGTCACATTATGCAGGTAAAATCACAGAAGAAACCATTTTCACACAAGCTAATGAGCCACATATCTATTTTGCATCTTGTGATCATTTTACTCACCAGGTGATGGAGTTGTGGCGACAGGGGGCTGGATCTGCCGGGACACAGTGCCTTGTGGTACCTCTGCCGGTTTGGGAGGCTCAGGTGGTTTGGGGGGTTCGGGGGCCTGAGTGGGCTGAGATGGCTTTAAAATTACAGGAGGTGCAGGTAGCCCTGGTAGCCCTGGAGGACCGGGCGGGCCGATGGGTCCAACGGGTCCATGAGGCCCATCCAACCCTGCAGGTCCTGCTGTTCCTCTGGGTCCCTGTGGCCCTTGTGGTCCTGGCATCCCTGGCGGTCCATCCCTACCAAGAAGTCCCGGAGCCCCAGGGTCACCTTTATCACCAGGGTTTCCAGGTCGACCTCCAGACCCTCTCGAACCTTTAGCCCCCGGAAGACCCCGGGCACCAGGTGCACCCTTTGGACCTGTTGCACCTGGTGGTCCAGCAGCACCTTTCTCCCCTTTAGGTCCCACCAATCCTGGCATCCCTTTATCTCCTTTATCACCCTTTTGTCCTGACTGGCCAACTGGTCCCTGGGGACCCCTGTCACCCCTGGGGCCCCTTGGACCCGGTGGACCTGAAACACAATAATAAAAGATGAGTGGAGGATGAGTGGTGGATGTTTGACTAGTGTCGGGACGAACACCAATAGATCTTGTTTTCTTACCCTGCAGGATGGTGAAGTTGGTGATGAGCTGAGAGTGTTTGCTGTCCACCACCTTCATCTCCTCCATCACCATAGACAGGTTGTTGACCTCTCTGTCCAACCTGGCTGCCATCTCATCTTGCTGGGTGCGCAGTTCTTTGCTCTCCGCCTTGGCATCTGTCACGCTACCATTCAGCCCCAGTAACAGGTCTGAATGCTGAATCACTGTCTCAGCACAGGACCTCAGGCCATTCAGGTCGGAGCTAATGGCACCGAGGAGCTGCGTGGCAAAGCTCACATTTCCAGTCACGCGGTCCATGTCATTCTCATGTCTGTCTAATCGCGCTTCAATCTCATCAAATTTAGATGATGTGGTGTTATCGTGGTCTCGCTGGTGGTCCATCAGCTCACGCATGCTCTGGTCATGTCCCTCAGTAAGGGCTGAGGCGTTCTGGATTTGGCTGACTAGTGTGCTGAGCTGAGCCCCAAGGTCATCAAGAACTTCCCCATTTGACCGGGCCAGGGCTGAGTTGTTGGCAGCCAAAACCTGGAGATTCTGGACCTTTTCCTTTAGCCACTCTGTGTCAGCCCGGTTCTGTCTGGCTGTCTGCTGCAGACCCTGGTAATCATTCTTCAGTTTCTGCACTGCCTGGCCTGCGTCTTCCACCGTCTTCTGCAGCGTGCTGAGCAGATTGCGCTGCTGGGACTGGGTGATGTTTAGTGCACTGACACTAACCTGGGTCTGGCTCTGCACTTTGGCTTGGCCCTGTATCTCTGACTGGAGCCGTGCAGTGTCCGTCTGGAGATCGTCAATCATGCCACTGTAGGAGCTCAGGGACTGGTTGAGCCTGTGCAGTGAGGCAGCATTGCCTTCCAGAAAACTCTGCAGGGACACGTGGCCATTTTGCATGTCACCTCCAGTGATCCGGAGCTCATCTAAGACGTCTCTGTTTTTGGTTGCCCTGAGGGCAATGTCATTCAGTTGGTTCTGTAATTCCTCCAGATCTGACTTGAAAGTCTTGATTTCACTTGTGGCGTTAACTGATTTCTTTCCTGCCTGATCATCTGAAAAGGTAACACACAAAACTATCTATGTTAATAGAAAAGTAAAAAGTGGTAAAATGTCACAGTCAAGAACATTCAAAATTTTGTTCATAGCTCCTGTAGGTGAAAACTGTCCATACTTGATATCTAATCTTGTGTTAATGAGATTTACCTAGCTTCTTTAAATCTGTCTCCACAGCATTGATCTTGCCTCCATAATTCTGCATGCCCTCGGTAACATTATCCATCCTCTGGACCACTGACAAAAGAGGAAACAGACAGTGTAATGTAAATAGAAATGAACAGTATATACACTTAGAAGGAAAAAAAGCAATGACCCAAGTTAAACAATTTCATAGATAGATATATACTTTATTGATGCTGATGCAATATTTTCACTGTGTTTGGTAAGAGGACCCCTTACTCAACCATCATGGATACTAAGACACTAACACAGGAAGTGCATTTAAGTGCATGATAGTAGATTAGCTACATCTGAATACTTCTTTCACCACTCATACAAAGATCTCATCAAAGCTTTAAGTGTAAACTTGGCTGCAGAGCATGTATTCAGTCAAGCTGATTTTGAACAGCAGAGGGTGCTGTTGTATTCATACCTCTCCAGCGAACAACTCAAAACTCAAAACAGCAACTCTGAGCACAAGATTTTGATCGGAAGATTTTTGTAACTGGGCAACTGTGCATGTGTTGATCGATACACTCATCTCAATGTTCCGAGTACATTCACAAATTCCACTTCTCGGGTATAAACAATGTCAAACACATGATGAATGCCACACTAGAGTAGTCTTAACTCCGGTTCCACTGTCTCTTTCCCCCTCACATCTGCATCGAGAGTCCAGCTCCTCTCCTCCACAGTTTGTTTTCCTGTCAGCATGTGGGCGTCTAAAAACTGCACTGGCAAACATCCTAAGCTTTCACTGTTATCATTCCAGAAGTGACAAAAACATGGAACAATAACATGCACTTGGGATGAACAAGAAAACACAAGGGCCCAGGTTTCAAAGAGCTATTGGTCAACTGCTGGGAGCTGGAAAATGCCACTCCAGTCTAATCTCTGTCTCTTTCACCTCTTTATATTTAAGAACACAGAGAAATGCAGAACAGGCCTTATTGGTTGCTCATAACTACCACTGGTAACAGGTACAAAAATACAATATATAGCAGGGATTCCTGCCACACCGTCTTTCCACCCTGATCTCTGACATACCTTCTTATCCTCTGTTAATCCCCCCCCCCCCCCCCCCCCCACACACACACACACACATACACACACACACAGCCCTGTATTGGAAAAGCATTATGAGTTACATAAGGTTGCTAATTTGAGTAAGGCTTATTGAGCTGCCTATTGTGACCCAAGTTATGAGCCACATTTAGGCAGTTACCCAACGTGCAGTCCAGCAGATTACTACTGATCAATGCCACAGGAGGAGACAGTCAGTGGCACAACAGGAAACACAAACAATGACTTTGATCTGTGAAGAAAATGGTGATTTGAGCGGCAAATATAAAGAAACATCTGGATTAGTGCAGCAAACTGTATTTTTGTTTGAACCGCCCAACACTGGTTTCTTGCAAACACAGACTCTTGTGGACACTTGCAGCCATTTTTGAGTTAACCTGTGGTTCATGAGACAACAAATTGCTACCAAGCCATAAAATCTCCTCTGGGTTGTTAAGCCTGAGTAGTTTTTGCGTGGTCATCTGGTAGACATTAGAGCCAAACCATCAAAATCACAGGGGTTTAATGTTAACACAGACCCAAAGCTGGAAACCCCAAACAATCCTGACAGCACTTACAAAGCATTATTTAAATTTTAGATCCAAACTTGTAAACGTCTTGAATAAAGTCATTCTCAATTGGAGCGAACGTGCTTTTTGTTTGTTGTTGGAGGTACATGGTTCACCAGGTCAGACTTATCGTGGAGCAAGTAGGACTTACATATTTTTGCTAAAAGATTATTTGACAGGTTTTCTATGATTGATTTGGACCAAAATGTGTAAGACAGGAGAATACACAAAGTATATTCCATACTGATGATCCCTGAAATAACTTGAATTCCTTTCTGTTTCTATTTAACATCACTGCCTGGGTTCAAACTGGGAGACACAACAACAGTGTGTTGCAGTAAGGAAAATGCTGCACAACAAATGCATTTCCTACCTCAAGCTATGACTAAACTCAGAGACATAACAATTCAGTGGAGAGTGAGCAATGGATATGGTCAAGGGACTCTCCTAAAGTAGTAAATCTTAGGCTGACCTTTCTGACTTGGCTGGATTTAGTTTACCATCCTGTTGCCAGTGATACGACCATTTGACTTTCATCAAAACTTTAGAGGGAGAGAGACTGCACATGGTAAGCAGGGAGCATGGAAGAAAAGGGAAATCCTATACACATTTCAGTTGTGATATTTCTATTTGTCTATATTTTACTATCTATCTATGCTGAGCATCAGAGCATCAAGACTTGAATTGATAGTGTCACTTCTTAGTGGCAATAAAACCCATGAAAAGACCAAAACCAATGACAGAACAGTATTGCTTCTGTAGCCAAAGCCTGATACAGCGTATTCCTCTGTGCCATAGAGCTGCATTGTTATCCAAAAGCTATTAAAAACACACAAGTGAGCCACGCTGTTGCAGTGGGTGACGCCTTCCTTCATTACCATAAACATGGGCACTGTAGTCTATTCTGACTCACCCCCAGCAACAACGTCCTGCTGCAGGAGATACTCACAAGAGCATGAAATGTATATGAAACTGGCCTTAAAACAGTCCATAATTAAAACATTTCTTCTTTTAGGGTAACATTTTCTAAATACCACAGTGTCCAACAGTTTCAGGAAATCACTATATTATATATAATCAACTGTATCACTGTGATTTTAAAGATTTATGTCCTCAGTATGAATGAATGGGCTTGAGGCCGAGAGGCACAGACAGGCTGGGGAAGTTCTGAGTCTGACATAGACATTGTCGGTTTTGTTCATGAAATTTGTTAAGAATAAGATGACAAAAAATATACAATAATCCTCTTGAAAACACTCCTACTTATTTTTGTAATAGTAATTCTGCATTGAATATACTCGTAAGGTGACATTTACTTGAATTTATGAGAATATGGCTCTAAAATAATGAAATGCACTATAGAGATCAAAGTGAGCAGTAGACACATGAGAAAATCACAGTATGAATGTCGTGTACTGTGCAAGAAGCAATTTTTTACTTCAGTTTTGACTTACCTTTGTATCCGAGGACAGCCACTGCTATGGTGAGCAGGGCACAGAGTACATAGAGGAGTGCAATAGCCGCCCTCAGTGCCCAGTCATTTTTACACTTGGTGCACTCTGTACCCTCCTGAATTCCTGCAACATACAACAGAATCGGTGTCACACATTACTGTACTATATGCACGCACAATGCAACACAAGGCAATGTTGAGAAGCAGTAGTAACTCAGATATTCTACAACTGGCGCAGGGAGTTCATAAAAATGAGCCAAAGGTTTTCATTCAAAAATGAAATCCCATGGGATGCGTTTTTTTTTCATTTCATAACTAAGTTTAGTACGGCATGACTAAAGCAGGACACACTGTGCCTTTCTTCAGCCAAGTATATATTGAAAACATTTGTCCTCATGAATAGGCAAGAAGACTCACTATGAAACTAAAAATCGCTGCACATGTGTTATCCATACGACAGAAGAGTCAAAACAAAACACGGCCATTCCCCCTCTGTGTCATTCCTCATTGCCATCCGACCCAAAACTACGCTACAGTGAAATATTTGGTCATTCACGTCACAGATGTTCACCAGTCCAGTCCAACACCATGTGATACAATGCTAAACATAATATTATAGGCAGGATGTTTACTTGACTTCATTACAACTGACCAAGTAGCCTCTGGCGAGCAGAGTAAGAGGGCAGCTGGTGTGTGTTCACAACAGGCAATAAAGATCTGTAGACAGAACAAACTTTAAGTCAGATTATATAAGAAGTCCTGTTACACTGTACCAGACAGGAAGGTTATTAAATAAGTGGTTTCAGCCTAAGCTAAACCATAACAATTTAAACTACACTTCCATTGTTGTACATTTGCCTTAAATTTTGGGGCTATAGGAAAACCATGGTTTGTCACAACTTGGGTTTTAGTTTCACTTCATTTTGAAAATAATTGCTGGGATCTTGAATTCACTGAAAACAGGTCCGGTGGGACAAGAAACACAAGAAGTCAGTTGCTCATACAGATTAGCTATTTATGTTTTATGGAATAAATTAAAATAATGTTTTTTTATTACTTTGGTTTCGACTGTTTCATAAAGATTATGCTGAACCACTGAGCCAAACTTCTCATTTGACTGACATTAAAGTCCTATAACTATAGTAAATAATGTCATTGGGTTATGTCATTCTCTAAAGCGCCATGGTTTCTGGTCACAACATGCCCCTTAGCATTATGGGTAGGTTTAGTGTCTCCACTGGGGGAAGCTATAAAAAATTCTCCAGCTGGACTGACATCTTCATATGACTTCCTCCTCAAACGGTATCAGAGGCCTGGCTCTGTCCCTTTAACTTATGTCACCCGTGATGGGGTGGCTCCATCCTTCTCAGTCTGGGGTGGGCCAGGACCACCAGAGGGGTACTGGAGGTTTGGCCTCTCGGCTTTGGACCCACACATCTGTGCAAACATCACATCTGACCACCTCAAAGGGGCCCAGCCGTGGACACAGACATGGATATGCAGGCCACTGTTGTCCTTATGTGTACTGAGAGCCTCATGTTGGGAGTCAGTGTGGAGAACTCCATCAGAGACCCCCCCCCCTGGTCCTGACCACACGCTGCTTAAAGGACAACATCACACCATGTAAACAAGCAGCTGCCCGTCTGCAGGTTCTGGGTCAAGAGCAGGGCAGCGGTGGTATTTCTGTGTTCATTAGAATTTCAAATACTTTCTCACAGTCCAAATCCTTTAATGAAGGTTTCCATCATTATAGATGTTGTAATAATTAACTTTGTACAAATCCCCTGCACCTGAACAAATTCTTCTCGGTACAATGCCCCCACATAACTTTGTTTACTAGAATCAAAACTCTCCACCATAGCTAATGCAGGAAACAGATCGGCATCTATATAGAATACTCAGAAACACAGCCCTGAAGAAAATCACAAGGAATTGGCTGAAACACTCACACTCAATTTACAAAAAGACAGAGGCAGATCTTGGGAAAACAAATAAACTTATAGACACACATATTAAAGGAGGAGTAGACATACACATGGTATGTCCGTAAGCAGGTACGAATTACAAATATTTGTGTGCATCCATCTATGTATATGTATGTATGTGTATATATGGATGAAGATTTAACCACTCTTTATCTTCTTCTTCTTTCAGTTTGTGTCACTGGGTGTATGAAATACAAAAAATGAAAATAATAATAACAACAATAATTCAAATGACGTAGAATTACATTGGACATTTTGTTGTTGATAGGGAGAAATTCTAATCATCGATGGTCGAGGTATTTTGGTGAAGAAAGCGCCCTGGAGCCCAGGATGTCTTATGCTGAGGATGTTTATTGAAGCTTGGCCAAGCAGAACAGAGGGATCATCAATACAATCTCCTGTGCATGTTGTCAGCTCAAATCTGAAGCAGGAACCCCTGTGGTTAGTCTTTATACACTTAGAAAGATGACTATAGATAGCTTACATTCCATGATTGGTCCATTAACCATAAACAAGGAAACATGATTACACAAGCCAAGGTGCTGATACTCACAACATCCAGCCCCTTGTTATTGACCATCCAAGATCTTCTGTTATCAACCCTAGCACCAACAGCAGCAAACCACAGCTGCGTCTGGAGCAGCCACCTGAGCATCTCAAGGCCTGTAAAATTTAATGCAGTAGACGTGGCACAGCGACCTAGGGCCTCACACTGACCTTTCACCCTGACACCCTGAGTCAGTCATTCATTAGGTAGACAAGAGAAAATTCCCTCACAGTTGTTGTACTGACTTATGAATTGTAAGAGAAGTATGAAAAGGTAGACCTACACACCTGCTGCACTCTTAGTGGTTACTGAGTTACAAAAAGGCTGCAACCATATTTTAGCACTATCCAAACAAGACAAAGACGGTATAGGTTACTAGCATAATTAATTAAACTATAGCACAACAGTGTTAGACCCTTGAAAAGCAATGCTGGGACACTTAGTCAGCTGTCTCACACCCTTTCACTTGGTATTAATAGAAGGAATAATCAAGGCAAGTCTGAGAGCATTTAAAATCCTACAGCTGGACTTTAAGGTGTAATAGACAAAGGTAATCTTGTAGTTATGTGAGTGATTATGAACTCTGAAAAGCGAAATAAAATGAGTCTTAAGACAGGATTTAAAAGTTGCAATAGACACAGAAGACCTGACAAACTGTATTTGTACAAAATGTTCCGCAGTGAGGGGGCAGCTATGGAAACTGCTCAGTCACATTTGGGACTCTAACCTGGAACGTTGCTGTTCAAGCTATTGGCTCATCATGGAAAAAAATGGGTAAAATCAAAACCAAAGTGCTTTAACTGTCAGGACTATAATCTAAATGTACATGTGGTCTCTACACAAACTTTAAAGTTCCTAGGGTTAACATCATCACTATTTAGTAGATACTGTGTTGTAAATCCTGGCCGGGACAGGTTACAGACCCAGACTGTCATGTTCTCTCAGAAATGATGCTTCCACTGGATGAACATGGAAATTCATTCTGGGCAGAGCAAACAGTAGCTCTGTCCAGGGTCGCAACATTTTCCCACTACTTGTCACTGGAGTGTTTTCTGTTCCTCTCCAAAAGATTTTTCTCAAACAACTACTCTGTCAGCGATGTGGTACACACAGCAAGGGTGAAGAGAAAACACTTCTAAAGTAGCCACAGTATTCTGTTACATAGGAGCCAGAAAGAAAATAAAACTTCTGGGTTTCTAAAGCCATAGGTCTACAAAATGTGGGCTAAGTAGTTTTTGCAAATGCTTTGACGGCTTGTTTAGTCAAATTTACATCCACAGAAGATGTTAAGGTATGTTAAGGTAATCATAGGTGAAAATATGCATGATCTCATACTGCTTATAGTCCAAGCACACCACAGCAAAAACAATCAGATGTGTCCAATCTTTTCAAAGTGGTAATGTAATCATGAAAAACTTGATTTTCCATGGCCCTCACCCCTACACACATTATGTTCCTCATTCGTCAGTAAGTGAGTCATGTTTCATATCTACGGGACCATTGTGACCTCTTGCTGTCTACACATAGACTACCGCAGTACATAAACATGTTGACACATTCATGTCATGATCTGAAAGAAAACACATTGCTAAACCAAAAGGCCTGGTGCAAAACATACGAGGACTGTAGCTGCTGGGAGTTGAGAAGCTGGACGGCAGCCAGGACGTCCCAATCTACAGGCTGGAATCCTGCCACATGATCCCCAAGAGGTAAATAAATGCCACAAAAGCCTAGAAAGAGCAGAGGTATGGTGGAGGATACTGTGTCTTAAATATTATTACTGTCAAGTGACGACCATATACACCCAGTTTTGAAATGTTTATGTTTTTATATAGTCATTCATTGTCTGAGTTTATGGACCAAGACAAAAATAAATATATATTTTCCAAAAATGCAGGAGCATTCATCTCAAAACAGGTTTTTTTTTTTAGCTATGCTAGACTAGGGATTATACTGTCTGTCAAGTCAGTCCACTATTATGGTTCAGACTGACATACTAAATCAGTTACTGGATAGATTTCAATGACACAAACTACAATTCAAATGTCTTTGGTAACCCTCTGACTTTTCCTCCAGTGCCACCATGAGCTTAACATTTGTGGTTTATGAATCTCAACAGCTACTGGATGGGTTACCATGACATTTAGTTCAGACAATCATGTCCCCCTCAGGATAAATTGTGATAGCTTTATCAACCCCTTAATATTTCAACTAGTGGCTTCATTGGGTCAAAAGTTTAATTTTCCCAATAGGCTACTTTTGTTTATGACCAAAGACATGTTAATGTCACTGCCACCAGCCTCAAGGGTGCGTTGTGTTTAATGATAATTAGTACATGTTAGCATGCTAACATCCCAAACTGAGATGGTCAGCATGGTAAACATGATTCCTGTTAAACATTAGCAAATTAGCATTGCCAATTTGCGCATGTTAGCATGCTGACATTAGCATTTAGCTCACACAATGCATTGCTGCAGTGCAACCTCACAAGGCTGCTAGCATGGCTGTAGACTCATGCTAAAATCATTTTAGTTAAAGTGACTCTTTGGAGAAACATTTGCCAGTAACATAATGCCATTTGTGCATTTCTCT